AACTTCAGCCACTCAGAGTCGTGGCGTTGAGATATCAGTTGAGTGGTGCAGCCCCGGATGCGTCATCCTCTTTGATGCAACCACAAATTGGGGCACCGTCGCCTTTCGTAGCGAGGAGTCACAGAGGAAGGCTGGTAAGGATTGTAGTTCAAAGGACAATTATGTTGGATGTTCTGTTGTGAACCTCATGTTCAAAGTTCCGCAAACTGAAATATCAATGGAGAAGGGAGCGATAATAGAACACCAAAAGTGGAATTGCTATTTGTACAGTGCTGGCTCTACTTAGCTGCATGAATTGTCTCCACAGTAAAAGAGCCTGGAAGAGCGGCCATAATTTCAATCCAATGACCTCGAACGTGTCCCCCATGCTCAGCTTTTTACTTCTTCCATTTTTGGGCCATTCAAAGCATTGCAATGTCAGACTACCCCCATGCATCAGCAAATAAGAACTCCTGTTGGCTTAAATGCATCGCTGCCTAAATGCGGTAAGACTGGCATGAGTTTGACAACTGGAGAATCTCTTGTTGCCGCCCTATCCCGTCCACCGGCTACTCTCTTTTGTATCCCTCTTCCATCGGCCTCTGCTGTCAAGTGGCAGCATCCACACTGGCAGCAACCCTTAGCCTGGGACTGGCCTTGACCGCCTACTTACTATGTGCATGATATACCCGTGCTCCGGGTGGAATTGCTCCAGTGGCCATTCAGTGTGGCTGGAAGTTCCGTCGTGCAAATGGCTACTACAACACCTGAGGCACCATAGTAGTTAAGGATGTCAACCCCCTCTCGATGCCTCCGAAGCAAACATCACCACCTTTTACAGACGACCACTCACTTGTATGCTGATGCCACCCATCAGCGTTGCCGGAACAGGGAGAGGAGCATACTAGTGCCGCATCTCCGGACCCCTTCCATCATCTGAACCAGCTACTCTGCCGTCTCTACGGCTTGCTGTCTTCATTCCCACCCCCGCGGTTACTTCACGCCTGCCCACCACCCCGGCGAAGACTTCTCTTGCAACAGGCTCTCTCCATCTTGCTACCATAGAGGGACGGCCACATCCGTCCCGCTGCATCTCTATCGCGCCTTCAGCATGTCGCATGAGTTGTCTCACCCTTTCCCTGCAGCTATCTAGCGAGAATACCTCCGGGAGGACCGTGGTCGCGAATAACAGCCCCGAAGAAGCATCACGGGTTCCCCGTACCTGTCCAGTACCACACCCTCTCCCAAGAAACCCCAGATTAGAAGGTCTGTGAGCCCGTGGACGAGTAGGTACTGGTTGCTTGTCGTCTCTGCTTGTCGCCATTGGCCTCTGCCAGCAGAGCCTCAAGATCTCCCTCTTTTGCGTGATCCTCTCCGAAGTTTCTGTTGATAAGGCCTGCCGGCTGCCGTAGAAGGTGGACGCGTCTGTATCTGTCAGATTTCCCCGCAATCTCGGCTTCCTTCTGCTGTCTGGCGATCCTGGGTATAGCTGGCGTTACACGACGACCCTGGACATACCAGCATGTTTCTGCGACCAGACTGAACATGACAAAAACACCGCACAATGCAGAAATCCAAGAAATCCAGCAAACGTGCGGCCGAATCGGAGTGGCAGCAAGTCCCAAACTCTATCCTTCTATATCACGTACCTACTGCGAGCTACTTCCACCCGGGACTCGGGACTTATACGGACGAGAATGGTTCGTCCACATATTTCGACACTTTTGTCACCGCATGCGCCTATTGGACATTTACTAACCTGCACTTTTACCTGATAGGACAACCACTTGAGCTGTGGACTGAATCGGAAACCCCTAGGACAGGGGTGGATGATACTGATCATGCTGAGTCGTATGCTGAGGCCGATCCCGGTACTGAGGAGGAACATTATACTCACAGCGCATCTCATGGTAAGTTGCCCGCGCCCGCCCTCGATTGCTATTCACGTCCTGACTCGACGACAGCAGTTGCAGCTGGCTTCCAACAAGATGTGGACGAGGAGGGCCTTGCTGCCTCTTTGGAGAACCTCTCCGTCGAGGGTCAAGAGGAGCCGGACCCTATCCAGCAACAACAAGATGCCCAGTCCGTTGGTGTGTCTTCCTCCAAGGGAAAAGCCAAAGAAAGGAAGACATCCAGACGTGAGGAGAATGTTCCTTCGTCGTCCAAGCCCAAGAAAGAGGTTAAGAGTAGCGGCGAGAAGAAAGGGAATAGGAAGGGCAAGGGGAAAGAGACGGATTATCAGGATGGGCCTCCTGAGGAGCCGTTCTACGAAGAGCCCCAGCCAGCTCAGCAGCACCACCATCACCAACACCGCCAGCAAGATCATCGTGGTTAGCAATATCAGCATATCTTTCTATCCTCCATTTCCGTCTAACATTTGATGCAGCGCCCCGCCCGAAACGTGCACATGGTCATAAATCCGCGTCCACAGGAGTGACCGGCCGTGCCACTCCAAATGACCCTCAGCCTGTTGACCCGGGTTATGGCGCAAGGGGTGTCGAAGATGAGGGCGCAGAGGTCCCATACTATCCTCACAGCGAACAACCCTTGGGAGCGGCTTACCAAGAAGGGCAAGAAGTACAGGAACAGAGTCAGTCGTCACCGTCCTATATCATGTCTCCCCCGCATTTTCTGACCTGGCCTTAGTGGAAATGCCTGGAGAACTAGGTGGTGTCGGTATCCCTGCGGGTGCAAGCTATGCTAGCGGTTTGGCCGCACAGGAGGACACAGACGATGAACACGACCTGCAGAGAGTTCTCGAAGCAAGCCGACTAGCAGCCTTTGGGGATCCCGGCGGCTTTGCCCAATACCCACCAGGCTATCATCAGGGAGAGCCGTCATACGTTCAAGATGGTACAGCACACACCTCCCAGCAGGAGACAGGAAGCTAACTGCATCAGTGCCGGATTACGAAGCAATTGAAGATGAGGAGGACGAAGGCAGCAAAACGCCGACACAAGACAACCCCGGATCAGAGGCGGACATCATCCGTGGCACTATTGGAGAATACGAGCCCATTGATTCTCGTTAGTGCACTCTTACCTTTGTCGTCGCCGTCACGTAGCAGAGCGGTGGCAGGGCCAATCGACTAATGCAAATCTATCAGGATACCGGGTCGAACACTCAAGCAGATTCTCACCAGGCCAGGTGAGTTGTCCTCGCGAAACGCCACCGCAACCGCCGTCCCGGGGTGGACCAACTCGGAAGCGCAAGTCGAACCCCAAAAAGCGTCACTGACACGAACAACCAGATATTCAAGATCCTGTGGTCGGAACCGCAAGGGCAGTCGCACGACTTCCCCAGCAGGGTGAACATCGAGAACTACACCGAGAGGATTAACGCCGAGAACAACTGGGGTGAGAAGTTCTATGTCGGCTTCCGGAGATTCGTCATCGTCGCCAGCGACTCGGGTCATTGCCAGTGCGTGTAAGTGCTGCTGCCGAAACATTCGTCTGCCAAGGAACAACTGACAAACGACACCTGCAGTCCCATCCTCACATACATTCGACAAGGATGCAAGAAGAAGGGCGTCAAGGCCGACAGGCACGGCATCGTCCACGAGTTCAATACAAAGCCCCGACTCCTGGAAGGCGAGCCGAAACTGGGCTTTAAGCCGGTCCGCGCGCAGCTCACGGAGGGCGAGAGGCTTGCCCGCGAGTCCCGCATCAACTACTCCAAGCTGGTCACTGTGGAGCACAATGTGAAGGTCTTCTTCATCGGCAACATCTACTGGGAGGACTTCAACAACGTCGTGCCGGCCGCGGTGAACAAATGCTGGGGCCTCAAGATGACGACGGCGAGGAGGGGGATGTCAGACCCGTCGAAGCCGAGGAGGTAAATCTGACATCCGGCATACATACGACGGCGTGTTACGGCGCCCAGCGCGTGTTTCCTCGACGGCGGCATACTCTACTGCCTTTCCGTCACACATGACGTTCTTGGCCTGTCTCCACACAGGAGACGGGCATCTTACCACGATAACCCCCTTGGAGAGACTTCCACCCCTAGGTTGGTAGCTCCGCCAAGGGTGGACAATACTTTATATACGTTCGGGGAATCTCTGGCGGCTCCGACAAGCTGGCCGAGAAAGGAATCTAGTTGACGGAGAGCGGATCGGACCGAAGGCACTTACGCCTCGCGTGGGAACCCTCATCACGGACTTTACGGCCATATTTTCCTACTATGAACATCCCATCTCACCCGGGCGTTTGGGCGCCATGTTACCATTTCTTATGCCCGGGAGACATTGGACTGCAAGTGCGGAAGTGGATGGACACCACAGATTGGAATCGCGGAATGGTGTTCACTGAGCGGCCTCCCTCACGACATTATGACCATGCCGGGCGCAGCGGGAGCAATTATGCGACTGGGACAGACTAAGTACTCATACTTGGAAGGACATGTTTCCTTTGTATACCCTAATGATTTACGAATTCCGTTTCTTTTTCTTTTTAACGGCTGCTGATATCCCACTCAATATACTCTACTCTTCCATCACTCTCTGCAGTATTAAGCTAAGCTACCTTCACACGTGCATGACTTCAAACACACCTCCTATTAACATACATCTTCAAAGTCCTCCGAGGCGATCCGTGTACGCTCACCAGGGCCTCGGCGACTACAGGTCTACAGCCAGAAGGGAATCTGTATGTTGGAGTCGGTTGGACGGGCTGCATCTGATCACTATGGTTCTATCCATCAGGGGCCATTCAACGAACTCGAGCGCCATCAGCCTCCAACACCCCCAACATCAGCCAAAACGCACCCAGCACTTCCTCATCACCATCACACGGTTGACGCACGCACCCATTTACTCGCCCTTCACCGCCGAGGCTCGCCGGAGTCCCAATTCCTGACACCAAGTGGAACCTGGGGCAAGTCCACCAGCACAGCGGACGATCCATCAGAAAACTCTGCACAAAACTCCACAACCCCCATTCCCAACCACATTGATTCAGTCCTTTACGCAGCCTCCAAGACATCCAAGCGACGAATCAGCTTTCGATTCGACAGCAATAAACGGTTCCGTGGTCCAGTGGTCAAGACTCATCGTTGTGGTTAAGAGAAAAGTTTACTGGGTACCTGCTAGCGCTACTCCATCTACTCTCCGATGCAACCCGTGTTCGATTCACGGCGGAGCCAAACACTTCCAGGACCTCCAGGCGCTGTCTGGGAGTTCGATTTTTTTCTTTTGCTTTTCCTTTTGTCGGTGTGGGTTACAATGGTGGGTAGAGGTGAGTCGGCATTGAACAACCTCGTTGGATGGCTGCCTATTGAGATGGCTTGTAGCTACTGTCTGGCTGACGGGGTAGTTTTTTGTATTCTAAGGAGGAGACACGATGTACGGCATGGCACAAGCAAGGGACGCGTCGGCCGTGTCGCCGCGGAGGTCTCGACGGACGGACAGCGTCTGGCGTGCCAAACCTAGTTGGGCCTCTGTGGTAGAGGTAGGACAGCTCTTTGCCTCAGAAGCCATAACCGACGGATCGTGATAGGACTGTGAACCATGTTCGCTCCATGGTCATTGCAAGGATGGACGATACGACACGGTAACACTGGGCTGCTCGCCACATTATATAGCGAAATCATATCAGATTATCAGGTGGCCGCTTCATAACGACGACGTATATGTGAAATAGGTATCATCCGCAATCGCTCGCACACCAGAAAACAGGAAGAGGAAACGCCGGCTTAATGAAACAAGAGAGGGCTTGTCAGCCCATGTCCAGGCCCTCACCCCGTCAATCATGGTCATCATAACGCATGTCCCCTCCGCGCATCCTCCTCCGTCAGCCCCCCAATAACCCCATGTCGAGACGACCCTCCCGTCCCCGTCCGCCTTAGGGAAGGATGCCTCCCATATCCAGGGTGGTGCAACACCGGCGCCTGCGGTGGCGACGGCATCCTGTGTTGCTGCTGGTGCGGTGCAGAACCCTCGCTCCCGCTCCCGCCGCCGCTAGACGGTACCTCGTACATCTCGTACGCCTCGTCCTCGTTGCTGCCGCGGCTCTTGCCCTTGGCCGGCGAGGAGGAGGAGGATGACTCGGTGTGGTGGTATGTGCGGTAAGGGGCGCTGAGGTCGCCGGCCAGAGACCCCGCGTAGGGGTTGTTGCTCGCGAACTGCGGGTCCGAGGCCTTGGATCGCAGGCTGGCGCTTTCCAGATGTGGGTTTGAGGGTTTCGAGCGCAGGCTGGCTTCGTCGCCGCCTAGAGCGAGGCCGATGCCGACTTCGGTTAGGGCTTGTTGTTCGCGCTCGGCTTGCAGTTGCATTAGCTTCTCCTGGGTTGAGGAGGGCCATTGCGTGAATGCTGGTGGGTGGGGTTGTTGCTGCTGGAGCTGTTGCTGCTGGAGATGTTGCTGCTGGAGCTGTTGTTGCTGGAGTTGGTGTTGCTGATATTGCCTCTGGTGCTCTTGCTCCTGTCTGATTAAGTCGTCTTGGGCCCGCATGTATGCGAGTTCTTCCTCTTGGACCTGTGTGAGGTTTTGGGGGCTAAGAGTTGGCCAGTTCCTCATGGCTGGACCGTCTATGGCGCTGACGGGGCTGTTGTACGTGCTCGAGTAAGGGCTGAAGTACCGGCCTAGACTCCGGTCCGTCGATGCTTCTGTAGCAGCGCTGGCGGGTGTATCGTCCCAGCTGCGTAGAGGCTTCTGGCTGACGGGTGTGTCGTCCCATCCGCGCAGAGGCCTCTGGCTGGCAGGTGTCTCCAACATATCAGACCCGCCGTGTCGGGTCTTGGGGTGCGGCCAGCTGGCGTCGGCATGGCGCTTCTCAAGCTCACGCAGGAACCTCCGCCGCCGCCGCTTGCCGTTCCAGATTATACAGCAGCCTCCGACAGCGAGGATGACAATGATGCCGGCTGCGGCAATGCCAACCCGGGCACCGAGGGGTACAGCACTCTTGTCCGGCGTATATGTATACAAGGGAGCTGGTGTAGGAGTGGTTACGTTCATGGGCTTGGTGGAGAAAGGATCGCCTTGTACGGAGATCGTTGTCCCTGGCGCTGGCGTCTGGAGACATGTCGCGTTGAGCATCACCACGAAGTTGTTCAGGTAGTGCATGTCGCCAGCCAGAAGGCAGGCACTGCATTTTGCGGACTGGAGTCCGTTCCACTCATGGCAAAAGTCGTAGGCTCCTCCCGACGTGGTGAGGTTGTTCCATTCGAACGCTTTCTTGAGCGGGAGGCATGCGGTGCTGAGGTCTTGTTAGGAACAGGAACGGAAGGCGGCAGGTACCAAAAGCCTCTGGGTTTGAATGCTCACCTTGTTATGCACGGGTTGCTGCCAACATTTGTATTTCCGAAGTCTCCAAACAGACAATAGGACATGGCAAACCGGAGGTTGTCTGGAACCCGGTGTTAGTCCTGGGGAGTAGACATGGGGGGCAACCAGCACTTACAAGCCATCCACTGCAAATCGGTCTGGCCGTCAGGGGAAGAATAGTTGCTCCCAAGTTCGCATCGCGTACATCCCTGGAAGACGGAACCCGCAGACGATCCGTATTGGCGCTCGTCGCAGATCAGGTCCGCGCTGGTGGTTGCGTCGAGAACATTGCCGCAGTTCGTTTCGCAAGGTGAACCCCGCGCAACCATGATCGCACTGGAAGTCCTCACCATCGCCGCCAAGGCGAGGGAAACTGTGGTGATGCGCATCGTTGCTATCGATAGAGGCAACAGCCTTCTCGTGGTTCTCAATCAAGTAGTTGTCCTCTCGAACGGCGTAAGAGACGATATGGCGGAGGGCTGGTCGAGTATGTCTGCTGTCACGCAGGTCACACAGTGACGTCTCCGCTTGAACTCGAGGTAGTTATCGCATCTAGCTGAGTAGGACAGGGTGAGGGACACTCGTCGTCGGACAGACCAGGTGGCCAAGCAATGGAACTATATAGCTCGTGGCGGTCTGTGACAGAGCATTTAGTGAGAGATCCGGCGTGCTGGGACGGTGCAACCACGTCCTAAGCGCCGCAATGTTGTGATGATGGCATCAAACAAGAGTAACTATTGTCTGAAGATGGTCTAAGAGAGGTTTCGGGGCAAATGTGACAGTGACGGAAGGGAAGAAGGGTTCGGAAGCGCGAGGGCTTTTTGTCGATTCCTCCCGCCTGCAAGTGCCTTCATGGTGCTGCACACCAACAGACACACCACAGCAATCAGCACCTTCGGCGGCGGATTGGGTCCCGGAAGGGAAGGGGAGAGACCTGCTACGGAAGAGACCTACCCAGTTGGCCCGGTGGCCATGGGTCAGCATTGACGAGGGTGTGATGGGATGGATGGCATGGCTGATCGCGGGGGCTTGTTCTGGGCGTCGAGATTGGCTCGCAGTGACAGGTGCAGGGGTTGCATCGCGAGTTTATCACTGCGCCATCGCCTGTGGTGCTGGCGATTGCTGGACGGGAGCTGGTTAAGCTGGCCCCACCAGCGAGTGGCCTGCAGGAGGTCCACTCTCATTGACAAATGGGAACGCTTAGGCGAACTGCTGCCGCCGAGTGAGCTGCAAGCACCCCTGCAAGTCCTCACGTCTCCACACCAAGACATGGAAGGGACGAACCGATCCCGAGTCTTGATTGGATCGTTAGCTCATGCCGGGTTAAGTAGCCAAGGGCTGAATCGGGCTAACGAGAGACAGCGCAGAAGCAGGGGGCCCAAGAAATCCGTCATCAAAGTCACGAAGCCATCTACTTCGTACAACCATCTGCCAACGCTCCCCTCCACTGACCACCTCCACGACCCGACCGACTGAGCATTGAGACAATTGTTCCTTCCCCGCCATTCGTCCACTCGCAACATGGCCGCCCTTTCTGGCCGCAAGCGCTTAACGGCCCCCAAACTTGCATCATGCATATGAACTCGCTTGCTGAAGATTTCCAGGCTGTTTGTCTCAACTCCTGACGAGCTCTTTCCAAAGTCAGACGTCGACAACTCATCTCACATCGAATCAGGAAGAACCGGCATTTTCATCAACGGCGTGAAGATGCGCTGGAGGCTACGCTGTGTATTAACCGCGTCTGAGGCTGTACCACTCTAAGAAAAGGGGGTATTGTCACGTTACTGAAAGAGGTAACGTCATTGATGATCGAACACAGGTTCCTCTCCCATTGTCCTTCAGTCGGCATACCGTTCGCTCAGAGGATCATCAGGGCGTCTATAGTCAAGGTCCCACGCTTCTTTCGCTATGCTCATCGGAGTGACCAACCTCCCATACATCCCAGTCATTGCACCGGAAGCATGGACCTTCCTCCAGCCAATGTCATACTCAGTGTTGCCGTGGATAGGGGCATAATGCTCCTCCAAGTCTTCTGGCGGAAGACCCTCCTCTCTCAGCTCCTCGAGGTCCTCCTCGGTTAAATCACCGCCGGACTCCCGCGGGAAGAGGTCGGAGTCGATCAAGACCATATAGCCCTTCAGACTCACGGACCCATCGGCGGGCGCGTACTCGAACTCTGTCTGTATGCGGATCGAGTCGAGACAGTCTTTGTCAACGTAAACGCAATATTGGTAACGCGGTGAACTGCCGCGGGACATGCGTGCCCGAGGCACCAGAACCGTCGCGTTCGTCACTCCGAGTCTCGGCCCAATGGCGGAAATGCTTGCGGACGGCATCTATAGACGCGCCGTCAAGCGTCTTTCTGTCCTCGACAACAGTCCACCTCAGGTACGGCCCGAGGCGGGTCAGGCGGCCGCATCCCTCGAGACATTGCTCTGCATGCACTTTCAGATAATGCATAAAGATATCCCAGGCGGCCTGGTTCTCGTAGGTGCAGCGGTAGATAAGAAACCCCCATCGGTGGTAACCCGAGGTGAACATGCCCCGGACGGTGTAGGGTGTTCCGAATGGGTTATCGTCTGTTTCCCAAGGGACGAGCGGAGGCGGCGAAGGATCCTCGATGACCATCGTGCGCGGCGTCTTCCGTGCTGGTCTGAAGGTGTACGCGAAAGATATTGCTCGACGGGAAGCTGAAGGTATCGAGACCGTAACTCTCGGCAGGATAACTCGTCTCCGCGAACTTAGAGAAGTCAAGTGTTGATTCTGGCGCAGAGTTAGACTTAAACCCTGGGTCAATCTCGTGTTGTCGCCTGTCGACTGAGATACACCATGGAGAGACGTGGTTTCAAGCTTTTCTTCCTGTCGCCCATCCTGAAAAGTAG